AGTCACCTTTGTCGCAGATGTGATATCCGGCTATCTATCAAAGGACGTGTGTACTGCCCAAAAGTCCGTTCTGTCCTCCTTTATGACTGTGAGACATGGTCATTAAAAAGTGGAAGATATGAAAAGGCTGGCTAACCGCCTTTCATCATAGGTGTCTGTGTTCTATCTTCCATGTTAGGCGGTATAACAGGATGAGTAATATTAAGGTTGTAGGTAAAGTGTTAGATAAGAAGGGTGGGTTAGTCGATAAGGTTGTGAAGCTGCATCGATTATGATGATGGTCAGAACACGTGTTGCACATTCAGAGTCATTGCCTTTTATAACGAGGAATGTTAGCTGGCATAAGATCAGGCTGGGAAAGATCTACTGGTCGTCAAACCATCAGTCCATGAAATCTTTGACAGTTAGTTTCAGTTAGTCACGTAGTTAGGTGTAGACCCTCTGGTTGGGGTTTTCGAGATTCTAACGACAATTGGTGACATATCTCAAGGTCGTTGTCATTGGTGCAGATGCATTATGTTTATAATGACGCAGTGAACCATTCTATTTGAGAATAAGAAAGCCATCAGCTCCACTTCCATAAAATAATGCTACCCTATGCAACTGTTATTTGGTTTTTACAAGTTGATCACGGATTGATATCAGTTAGAGAACCACTGAAAACCATGGGGTACTGGACAGCTGTTTCATCCCAGTTTGGAACTCATTGGCAGTACACACCCACCAACAGGGTTCGAACCCAGGACCTTCCGGTTACAAGGCAAGCTGGCTCGTATACCATTCATCCACTGGGACCGGATTCAATGACCAGGCCATGAATTCTAACTTTTACCAATTCGTGATTTAGCGCGACTCCAACCAATCAATCCGTGATCAACTCGTAGAAAAAACTGATCCTTACAAACCAACTAGAAAGAATATTATTTGGTTGCAATTTTTAGACTGCTTATTTCAAACAGTTTTTCAATTCCTTGGTGTTCCCAAGTAGAATATATAAGGCTCCAATCTTTGAGCTGTGAAGTTTCAGTAGAAGTGATGTTTGTTTATGAAATGTAGGATTGCTAGCAGTACGCTCAACACCTTCCTTCTTTTTTCGATTGCACACTAGTCAGTAACTAGTGTAATGTGTCTAGTCCTATCTTCGCTGCAGACTGAATTCTATCAGTCATGTTTGCAATGTGGCCACCATGCTAGGTGGCTAGCCATTACGGTGCACTGTGAATTGTTGGTATTAGATGGTTGGAGGCAATCGGCCACAGGAAGCCTTCGACCTAGGTTTCGTGCTAGTTGGCACTCATCAGCAAGGCGTATCTGCAACCTTGAAGGAACTGATGTCCCTTCTGAGATTCGAACCAGCGTCACCCAGTGCTGCATTCAGAGACGCTACCACTGAGCTATTCAGGCTCGCGACTGACCTCCTGTAGGACTGTATTGGATATCTTTGATTGCACACTAGTCAGGTCAGTCGCGAGCCTGAATAGCTCAGTGGTAACGTCTCTGAATGCAGCACTGGGTGACGCTGGTTCGAATCTCAGAAGGGACATCAGTTCCTTCAAGGTTGCAGATACGCCTTGCTGATGAGTGCCAACTAGCACGAAACCTAGGTCAAGGAAGGCTTCCTGTGGCCGATTGCCTCCAACCATCTAATACCTTCCTTCTTTATCGAACTTATTACTGGCTAGGGTGAGGTTTAGGCGCTCATCAGCTAGGAATCGAACCTTGAACCAGAGATGAGGCGTGGTCGGCGAGCCTTCTACCGTACCGTACTGAACCACCACCAATCCATTTTATACAGATAAGACTTATACTTCATATGCACATATCTCATTTGTGTTTTGTAACACACAACTAACTCGATTAGCTAGCAAAGCATCAATCTGTCTGACATCAATCAACCTATCTGAAGAAGAAGAAGAAGAAGAGAAAAACAACGGTGAACAATTCTTCTTTATTATTTAGGTTTTTTATATTGTTATGTTTTCTCAAGGTAGAATCGACAGTCAGTCCTGTAGGCTATAGAACAACAACAACAACCACAATACCGAAAGATCACTACTCAACTTCTTTTTTCACACATACAATAATACACATCACATGTTTTGGCTTAATGCCATAATTTAAAATAGACAGACAAATGAAGTGAGAGAGATAATAAAACGTTTTATTTAAAAAAAAACTTGGAAAGAACATGATTGGTCGATTAAGGTGAACAGATTTCCGTCGCATATTTAGTACAATAAATAATTATATATTGTATATATACGTTTACTTCCCTTATGATGATGATTCCAGGGTAGATACAAAAGTATAATAAATTAGTAAGTATCGGTTGAATAAAGTAAAATACACAGAGTGTATTAAATACTACTAATTTTCCTAATTTTCGTACTATACCATACACTAACACGACTACTACATGATTGGCATATTCAGATAGTAAATTTCTATTGAACAGTTGAAACCAAGTAAGTAGAGTGATAGGCATAATGAAATTTGGCGCTGCATACAAATGGCATAAAGATAATCTATCTATAGTACCATTTATTATCACTACTAGTATTACTTATTTCAGTTGCAAAACCCGATATATATATATATATATATATATATATATATATATATAATGCATTGAACCACTTTCCTGGAACTAGTTTCCGCCATTAATAGTAAATTAAATGGTATCACCATCCGAGTGAGAAATGGTTCGAATAAATTTTAATTCTTAGTTTTATGTGAGAAGATATTATATATATATATATATTCTTCTAGTCGACAAAAACAATATTCAATGCATACTCCTTTCGCCTTTTAATATTAACACTACTTACACCAAGCCAAGCTGTTTATGACAAAATAAAGGATCCTCGATTGAAAAAATGTAATCAACGAGCTCTCGTTCTACTGTGGATGCCTGAATGATACTATTACCTTGTATAAGAATAAAATCGATGCCAAGGTCCTTCCGAAAACGTTAAATACACGTACGAAACAGAAAAAAGCCAATACATTATCATTTCTTGATGTTCTGTTAACAAGAAATGCAAGATGGGAGTATTAAGTAGGGGGTATTTTCCGGAAAAAATCATAAGGTGACCAACACACACCCATTTCGGATTGTTTGTTCCACTTGCGTACAAACGAAATCTCATCAGTACCCTGGTGTTTCGTGCTAGAAAACTCTGCACAACCGAAAATCTTGACAATGAAATAAGGAAAATAGAAAACGTGTTATATGAGAACGGATATCCATGTTTAAGTCTCCATGATGAGAAAAGATAGAGAGAAATGCCTCCAAACGGTACAAAATAAACGTGTATATATACATGACTTTACCTTTTAATAAAAGAGACACAAACCACTGAATTACTGGCATCGAAACTCAGAAAAATAATAGCTTAAACATTTTTGCCGCAACACAATGTTTAAAATTCACCACTCGTTGTATAAATCCAATGCAGCTGAAGGATAAGCTATTGAGTCTGGCTACCTCAATGTGTGCACTTCTTGTGGGGACAGTTAACATAGGCAGAACAACTCGGAAGGCCCATTGTCGCCTTATTGAGTGCTGTCTAACATGGTTAGATAAATGAGTAGTAAAATCAATCAGGAGTCAATTTTATACAAGGTATCACGTCAATTCCCTTGGTTTGGTACACCTCCGATTACTAAGCAGTCTCCATAAAACTTTTTCAGCCAATCTTTGTGTTTAGATAGAATTTGTTCAGTCCCTCTTCAGTCCCATGGCCTTCAACCTCGACTTCGAATAGTTTTCCCGATGGAACCGTTTAACTAAATATTATTTTTATTTGCACTGCTAACTTCACTATCAATAACATAGTGTGCTTTAGTTGCATATTATAATCTTAGTTTTCCAGTTTACATCCTGCTTGATTATATTTAATTCTATTAATTCACACTGTTTCAATTGCCTGTGAGTGATTTTTGATTATGTAATTGTAAAGTATTTCCTTTCTTAAATGGTGTTCTGTAATTTCAAAATGTTTCATTTCTTGATCAGGATTGAGAGAGCGTATATGTGTTAACTACTCATGAACAAATGAATTTTAACCCTGCATATCTACTTGTAACCAAACATAAAAACGAAAAACGATAAGTGAAGTCAGCAATCTATATAGTAGCAGTAGTACTATGGTTTTCAGAATCAGCCAAACGCGTCCTTAACAATTACGCTGGGTTAAATATGCATATACTTACAAAATAGTTCTAATTTGCAAATATCAGTTTGTAGGGATTCAATTTGTTTTGTTTGACCACGGATTGATATCAGTTAGCGGATCATTGGAAACCAGGTAGTAATGTGTAGCTGTTCCGTCTTAGTTTAAGACTCTCCAGCAGGACGTACCCATGAATCCACCAGGTATTGAATCCAGGACCCTGACGATACAAGGCGGGCTCATCAGCCACTGAAACGGAATCCAATCGGCCATGAATTCTAACTTCTGCTGATTCGTGATTTTTAACACCACAATCAGCCGACGTCATCGGCGAGTATTTGTCTTCACACCCGACATGGCGGACACTACTGGCTACGATTTCTCACTCACAGTGGAGATATAAATAGCGAATTGATAGAAGTCACCATTTATAGGCCATTGGATTCCACCCCAATGACTGAATAGTCAATAAGTTCACTTCGTATCCTGTGAAGGTCCTGGGTACTTCTGAAAAGTTGGAATCTAGGACGGAACAGATGCCCAGCACTCCCTGATTTTTAATGGTTCTCTCGAACTTGAGGTATGGATGTCCTGTGGATAAACAGCTAATCAAGCTGGTCATATCCATTCAGTGCTCATAACATTTGTATTTGTCTAACACAGTTTGTAAATCGATCTAAGCACAGTTTTTAATTCCAGTTGACAAGACAAACACATCCTGTGCAGGGGTTAGGTACATATATTTAAATTTGTAATCATAAATATGTTAAAACAAGCGAGATGGACTGCATAATTCAGCATTAAAAAAGCACACTGACAACTGACCTTAATTTCGCCTGTTGACTTATCAAATGCTACATGCAGATTATGCGTAACTTCAGTTGGACCGGATATTTGTGGTTCAGTCTTTTCTGATCGGCCAAATTTTGGAAAACGGAACATTTTTACTACAATAGAATGGGGAAAAAGAAAGAAAACAAATAATGATAATGTATGATGTTCTTGGATGAATCGTATTAATTCAAAACGGAATTGTTATTTACTCGTCTAAGGGACAACTAGGAGTGAAGGAAAACATCAAAATAGGCATGTAGAGAGACAGTACATTTCAGGGCCCCTGTTTGGGTTGGACTGTAAATAAACTTCAAGGTATTTGACAAACCTATCTGTCTTGCACTTAAATAAAGATAAAGTATTGTGGCTATTAGATGGTTGGAGGCAGTCGGCAGAAAGCCTGACACTCAGATTTCGTGTTACCTGGCACTCATCAGAAAGCCGTGTCTGCCATCTTGAAAGAACTTGTGTCCCCCCCCCCGAGATTCGAACCCGTGTCACTCATTGCTGTAATCAGAGACATTACCTGTGAGCTAATCGGACTGGCAGTTAACCTCCTGTAGAACTGTGTTGAATACTTTTGATTGGACACTAACTACTGTCATGCCTCTAGTCTAGTCCTTGGTGTTTGTGTAGACTGAATTCTATCAATCCAGTTCACAATGTGGCCACCATGCTACGTCACTTGCTGTCACTGTGCACTCGTCAGCACTTACCTCCAACCATTTGGTAATAGCTCACAATTCTGAGTGCACCATGATGTAGAGCCACGTAGCATAGTGGCCATATTACAAAGTCGACTGATAGAACTCAGTCTACACCAAACAAAGGACTAGACGCATAACACTCTAGCTAGCGTCCAATCAAAGATAAAGTATACTAGAAACAAAAAAATAGATCAGTTGATTTTGAAAACTTGCTATCTAAATTCCTAAGGTTAACTGACTCGTAGTGAATAATATTTGAATTACACTGAAGAAAGTCAACTCAATATGAATATCGATAGAATTAACTTTTCTTTGAAATGTGTCACGTCTGTAACAGAGATGTGTTTTTTTTTCTATTCCTTTACGTTCCCAGTGGAACATAGGGCTACAAGCTAGAGCTTTGAGATTTCGGTAGCAGTAGTGTTTATTTTTACGGGATGGGATTGCTAGCCTCATGTCCAACCTCCCCTCTTTACCAGTCTTATTACTGGCTTAGCGATGCTTGGGAGTGCGTCGGCCGGGGATCGGACCTTGGACCACATGCGTGATCGGCGAGCATTTTACCGGTGCCACCGACGCACCCAGAGATGTTGGCAAATGTCATACATGTCTTTTGTGCCCAAAAAACTGAAGGTTACTTTATTAAGGTTTTCCCATCTATTTGTAAAATGTCATTCCTACACTCAATGTTGACTAACAGATAGAAGGTATTCTTCCTTTTCAAGACAGCGTTTCATAAAGGCCTAGTTAAATCTTAAGTGTATAACACTAGTTTACTTTATGAAATAGCATGATAATGATGGAAGAAATTTGCTTGTTTTGAGATTTGTGTTATAATAATCTCTGAGAGCCACAGCTTCCAGTATTTTTCGAAAATTACTCTTAATTGTTTTAAACGAGCCTTTTTTCTCTTCAGATCTAACATGCATATCATATGAGTGAACACGCCAATAGTTTCAGGGTCATTTATTATTATTATTATTAGCTTAATCCTTTGCGTTCAAAGTGGGACATAGTGTGAGGTGTGCTACTGATAAGATTTATCAGTAGTATATAAAGAGACGTTCATTGGTAGAATAGCATCAAATATAGCAGGGAGATAGATTTGATGTCAGAGAAAGCAAATGATACAGTTTTGAGAAGATACATAGGAGATGTGAAAGGAACACACAAAAAAACACAGTATGAAGGCCAGAAGTCGCAAGCACAACACAGAAGATCTGTTCAAATGGTGATTTGAGGATAAGGTGTACATAATTTTGCTATACAGCGATGCCAAACTTCAAATAAATATTACCTTACCAAGTTTCTCGTCTTCTACCGTTACAATAAAACTTCAAACTTCAGCTTTGAAGTTTCAGTAGGATCAGTGTTTTTTCTACCAGGTAAGGTTGCTAGCCTCACGCCCTTCAACACCTCACCGCTTTGTCGGGCTTACAACCAGCTATAGGGGGAGGATTGTATTAAGGTCTAGTAACCTACAAATGTACACATAGCTATAAGACATTCGCGTAGTACCCGTTTACATCCAAGTGTGAATGAAAATCAGATTCCTTTCTACCATGTAAGTTAAGCATAATTACAATAATAACTATCCTCTTTTTTTAAAATGTCGTTAAGTACAAAATGAAAATGGCCTAGACAACTGTTGCGCTTAAATATACTATACACTATACTTTTGTTACAGTATTATATGCATTACTCTACTAGCTATGGTAATAAGGGCTATAGAGACAAAAAAAGAGAGTAAAGGCATAAAAAGGATGAATCATCCTCACATAAACACACATACACATACACACACACATAAACACAGCTCTCTTTCTCTAACATGAATGAACTGGTAATAAACTAAAACCAGAAAGGGTAGAGAAATAATAACATGTGATAGTGAAGCAATGTGTACATATATATGTGTATGTGTTCATGCAGATACACACACACAGACAAAGACTAGAATATGTATACGATATAATGATGATTAGAAGTGGACAAAAATTATTAACGCACTAAAGTGTCTTCTGCCACCATTACTACTGTACACTAACTAGTAGAGTGTGGCACAGTAGAGAAAAGAAAAATGCAGCTCTCTCTCTCCCTCCTCCATATTTAAAGCCTATGCTCTAGAAACTGACATACTTTATTTCACAACAAAATATTCATTTTTATTGTTGTTGACTATCATCAATAAACTGATCGATGAAATTGTTACTATCGCAGAAAATAATGATGATAATATCTAAGATAATAGTTGCAGGAGGATAGTTAGTTCAATTACTTAAGCACTGATGGATTAATTTTCTACAATGATATATGAGGGACATTAATATTACACGGCGTTGTACATCCCACTATCCTATAAACTGACTGGTTTCATCAGCATAGAACTTTGCTGCACAGAATTGTACAAGGTCATGTTGCCACACTCCATGTAGCACACACACACAGGAAGACATAAGACGGAAAAACGAGATCCGAAAGAATAGTAATACGCAGAAATGTTAGGGAGAAAGAAAGCAAAGTAACATGCCAAACCATGAGAGTTTTAATGGATATAGGAGAATAGAACAAAGAATGATTGCATTTACGCCACTGAGAATGATTTTGAGCCATATCATCACTAACTGTCTCCAACAATTGGTTCTTAGAATCTCGAGAACTCCGACCTGTCACTTGATGGTAGTGTCTTTCATTGCCGTGAGAACATAAACTTACTGTTAGTGTCAGTGTCCATTTCAGCATTCAGTTACAGATTATAATCCATGAAGAAGTAGAAGAGACATATAAAATTTGTTTTTTTGTAAACAACTTTATTTAGTCGATGTACGACAGAACCACTTCATCACACAATGCTGTGATAATGTGCTTATGCACACCTGAGCTTGACAGCCCACAACAAAACGAATTCTACATAATAAATCTGAATTGAAACAGCATATGATTTCATGAGAAATAGCTAATGGAAATATTAGATCAATAAATGACCTTTCTGTTGATTTATGATGATCATAGTGAATTTGTGTAAATAGTTTCAAAAATTGTTGGACCCATAACAAAATCATAAGATTGGAATGAATTCCAATACACAACTTTGTCCTTTCCTATCCAGTAAAAAAGGAATACTATAGAAACCCTCAGCTACAGGGTTAGAGCTATTTGTTCAGAAGATGAATTTGAGGTTACACACGACTCATTGATTGAAAACAGCTACACTGTAAAGTTCATCAAAAAACGCATGACCAAGAGAGTGGAATGGAATTCTTCGTTATCTGCTTAACAAGAAGCCTGTAATGTATATAACACTGCAATTTAAAGGTGATGTACGAAGGGAAATTAGAACCAGCAAGCTGAGAAAATCGATTCAAAGAACGTTTAATACCGGCAAGATGGAGCTTATATTTTCCACACAATCGGTTGTGATTTCGAACCTGAGAGATAAATTACCTAGGTTAGCCACCTCTCATTGTATCTGTCAATTCAAATGCTTCTCGTGTAGAGTCACTTATATTGGCTATTGCTTTAGGAACCTAATTTTTAGTGCTCGGGTACACCTACCAGTGTGGCTAAATAAAGGTATTTTTAAGAGCACCAACAGTTCCGTATTAGATCACCTCGTCAAAACAGGTCAGGTATTGGGTAAACTACCGAAGGCCTCTAGATACCGAACACTCCAAAAGAGCAGAGACTACTGCAATCAGTTTAAAACAACTGGAGATCTATATGCAAAATAAACAGGTCCAGCCAGCTACTATCCCTTACCCTGGCCTATTGTGGAACCTATAAGTTCATAAATTCTGTATGCTACTTTCCTTAGTTTATCGGATATTCAGTTTAGTGTTATAATGATGCATATTATCACTTACAGATGTTTTTGAACTGTAATCTACTCAATCTTATTGATTCAATGTTATTTAAAACATTAAAGTTGTGAATAACAATAATTCTTTAATTATTATGAACATATAACTATAGGGCCTAGTGAAGAAGTTACCGAAAAGAACTATCCTTTGTTCACTAATCCATCTCGTATAGTGGGTAAAACTTACAATATATTTGGTAACTTGTAAAATTCGTATAAACAGAGAATGAATGAGGTAGTCTTCACTAAGTCGTATACAAGCGCAAATTTTCATGAAGTGGTCATTTTAAAAAAATCTTTGTAATTATTCCCTTCACTCATTTGTGATCACGTCTAACTGGAAATCTCTTTCCAATAACCAAAGAAGATTCCAAATATATACAAACAACGCATTCAAAATATAAGTTTACTGACTGTGCACAGGCTAATATAGGCAGAAGATGTAATATGATACATGAGTATCCAATCTGAAAATCAGAAACAGAAATTGAGCTCATATGAATAGAGGTTTTTTTAATATTCAAAAGCACTCCTTACTTCTCTGAAGGCTATAATTTGTGGATTTAGATAATCGACTTTTAAATTAGTGATTCATCGATTCAAACAGGTGTTTGAAACAACATGGAGTAACGAAGCGATCTTGAGTAGAATAAGATTGAAATTAACAAAAAGGATTCATAGAAGAAAGGATAATAATTAAAGGAAGACTAACAAAAATGATGGTGAAGAATGAATAAACACACACACACACACGTACACACACATGCAACTATGCTCGATTTTGAGTCGTACCTACAATTTCTAATATAACTTAGACCAACATTTAAATACTTAGTAGAAAGTGCATATCTTTCAAGTTTGCAGGACCCATTTTTATGTTGCAATCATTTAAAAAGTGGAGGTTGGCGATTAATTAAAGACAACAACACTTTAAGTATACTTTCTCCGATTTTAGAATAAATTACTGGTGAATATTAAAATCTCTAGTGTTTTTACTGCTTAAAATGCATCACATGAAAATATGTACCACACAATTTTTACAACCAACGCCTTTTATCCAATAAAAGCCTACATCAACAACACTGTTATAGTATGATACACTTTTGACTATGATTTCAATGATTCAAATCAGCAGGTAGTTACATTAATAACTATAAGTTTGTCAGGATATATTTTATCTGTGCATGAAGAACTGATGTCTTATAAACAGTTATTTTCTGGGGAAGAAAATCAATATCATTCCAACTAAAAATAATACTAAATGCTTTAAACACAAAACCAAAAGATTTTGGAAAAGCAAAAAACCACTGAATTTGGATAGATTATTCCACAACAAAAAGTTAATAACTTGTGTTGAATCCCAACCAATAACCAGAGGGTCGTTGAGTTCATCTGAAATCAATTTCATCAATGGTGTGCCTGAATTCATTCGGTTTAAATCGTTAGTCTGCTGAAATCTTCAGCATTTTGAGTTCGGGCTTAAAAATTATGCAGTATAATGTGAGATTTCATAATGGTTTTATACATATATTAACCTGAAATCAGTTAAGAAAAGAGGTGGATTTGAACCGCTGCCAATGATTCTTGATTATATCACTAGAGGCATCCAACCATAGGTTTGGGTTGTGACATGCACTCAACACGCCAACTTGTACTTCACTATGCCATTCAGATCAAAGGTCAACAACTTCATAGATGTCTGTTACATCTCCGTCTGGCAACTATTCGCTTACACCTAGATTAACCAATGTTTAGCTAGCAGCAACTTAAGGTTGACAATTAGTAGGCAGTCAGATTGAAAGCTGCGCGACTGTACACATTTAAGCTAAAAAAAGTCTTCAAAACATATATATATATAAAGGCTCTGTACAGTCTACTCACCCTTCTTTTTCTTTTTCTTCTCTTCCTTTCCTGGTGGAGTCGGCAACGGCTTTGATGGGGGTAAAACGGTCTTATCCTTTTTTCGCCTAAAAAATAAAATTGAGGTAGCTGTTATCAGTGAAAACCCAAAAACAGGATAGTTACTCTGCTTAAATGGTGCCTAAAGTGGTACTTTACAGTTCAAAATATTTGAAACTTAGCAGCTCCGTAGATCGAACCCTTTCCTCAGTATGTTGATCCTATCACGCTTGTATACTACAGTGGTCGTTTATAATATTAATAACAACAGTAAATTGAATGTCATACTTAACAAGAAAAAGGAGCAATACTTGTGGGATATTTAGGATAAAGTGAGACTGTGGACACGGATCGTATACAACATGGTAGTCTGCTGCACAGCACAGTAAGCAATTTTTCCTAGAATTTTCAATTTTAACTTATTTTCGATAGTTGGTGAGACATTCTGAATATTCTGCATGGATCTCTAATGGTATAAACGCGAAAGCGTGTATCAGAAATAAGTAGGTACGCGATGTTGAAGCTACATGAAAAGAAAGCTGCATTCATTATCCTTAGGAAACTTCTTATAAGTGAGTATAGATACTATACACTTTATCATAGCATGTCTTAGAAGGTGGTGATAAGTGGTAACAGGGGATTTTGAAGTGTGCGTAAAATTATGGAAACAGATAACATTTGAAGTCCCATAGTCCACCAAAAATGGAAATTTGGCTCATTGGCTAAAACAGTCGATGGGTCTAGCGTCCGAATCCCACTCTATCTACATTCCCTGGGTAACAAGGTGATGTCCTCAGCCCTCAGATAATAAGTGTGGTCCATAGTCTAGCGCGTGAAAAGTTTATTCTGGGTGTGTTTAAATTAACTAACTAAATCAATCGAAATCATACATTTTGGACAGTCAAGTTCTGCATCAAAACTCGAATCAACTTACACCTATTTATTGACTTTCATTCAAGATTTTGAGGATTACCACTATCTCCAAATTTCCTCTAGGAATGATGCCATACGATTGGACATTTATAGATTGTGACGTGAAATATTCGCTCATCGTTGCAATGTGAAGTAAGTGTTGTCTCATTTCACCTTAACCCTCCGATTGTAGCTAGTGGTAAGTTTATGAAGTATAAATCCCGTCTCTCCACCCATCTCAAGACACGCCGCATATGACCTGCTGAAAACAAACATTCCCTACCCTTTGTGGTCACGTAAAACCAAGACTCTCTCAAACACACATACTTCAAGTAGAAATCAAAGTTCACAATGTGGGTAGCTGTGGAATGAGTGATTGAGAACTACAAACGTCCGTACACTTTCAACGCATGAAACATTTGTTTATCATATTCCCCCACTTTCATTTTTCCACAGCCTTTAATGTCCTCACGTTTATTTACTTTAAAGGACTTAAATCAATCAAAACAATAATTCCAGTCATTTTACACCAAACTACCAACTTCATAATGCAGATTCAAGCATCCAAACTAATCGCCAAACCAGATGACACATGTCAATATCCAAAAGTCTACCATCGCAAACTTTGGACGCGTGTCACATCTCCGAGGCATACGTCATTCTTTACGGCTGAAACGGACATTGTAAGTAGTAGACATAAAGATGCCAGCTGTCTTTGATAAATGTTAGCACTCTATTTCCTGCATTAAGTAGCATCATATGCTGAGTAACATTAACACCAGGTATACAGTGTTAGTTAAGGAGGGTAATTCATCTGGGCTGAGACGGTTGCGACATATGCCACGGACACCAAGCCATCATCTTCCTCATAGAACAATCTTAGCCAAAACAGGATTAGGTTGGTTAGTTTAAGGCAATCACATAGGGAAGTGTGTAGGTTGGAGTGACGTCCACGAGACGCTAAGAATCAATGGTTGAATACTGTTGATGACATGATTCAAAATCATTCTCGATGGCACAGGTGCATCAAGTCTGTGTGAACTTCCAGATCCACTAAATTTTTGTTTTCCGCATCATTATACTTCCTCCCGTACATTTCAATTAGTTTTAGTTTCCTTTAATCTTTCTTTTCCCTACTTCTGGGTGCTTTGTGAAGTGTAGCAACTTGAACTGCTGCACCTTTGTGCACAGTTGTGCTGTGACAATTTCGTTCAATTCACTTGATGCGCACAAGACTAGGGGGCTATTTATTAAACACCAGCGTGTCGAATACGGTGGATCTACAAATCCCAACCTCTATAGCTGATTTCCATAAAAGCTATCGTGCAGAGTTTTGAAATCACTCCTGAAATGGATTCCAGTGAACAGTCGTATGTTATCCGGAAGAGTCCATAAGAAAAAAGAAACACTAATGCTTGTTCATGTCGTTTAGTAGTCTCTGCTCATACGCATACCGATTTCAGTTAAGAACAAGTAAAGAAAAAATTTCCGCGAGAAGGATCTAACTTTCTGCAAAGAGAAAAATTCTGAGAAACAGTTGTAGGAGCAGGTGATTTCAATGAAGTGAAGAAGCCTAGTCAGTTAAGAAAGAATTCTGGAGGCACTTTGGTCAACGAACAAGCAATGATGACCATTTTATATTTCGTTCAAACATTGTAAACTAAGAAGCAACTATATCTGAAGACCAACAATATAACACACTTATTCAGAAAACGTTTTTTCATGTGCTACGTTGAACCACACTTGTTTGAGTGAGATTTAATGATGCTACTTAGCTACTCAAGTTGAAGTAGATATAATGGATTCCAAACTCCGGACCAATTAATTGAAAATTGAGTACCTCCCCACTATTCTCAGGTTAAAATTCGGTTGATATCAGTCTTGTGTTACCGTTTTACATTTGACAGGAGTGGAGTGTGTGCCCAACATGCATAGATGATTGCTCAGGGTCTTGGGAAAACTGCATTCTGTCACCGTCCCTACCTAAGTGGATTAACTTTGCATACTCTAAGCCAGCACTTTGAATATAAAAGTCAGTCGGTCACATCTGTCAGTACATAGATAATAAGACTAAATAAGAATGTTGCCACTGAAGACTAGACAGATATCACTGGTTGTCATCACTTGAGGTTACAGCACTCCATAAGGTTCTAGACGACTGCTCGAGTTCAGGTAGAGTGCCTTGAATTACGTGAAATCCTTTTATGTTATTCCTTTTAACCTAATTTCTCGGACACCAGTATGTTCCTGTCCTAGAACCTGTAAGACAATGACGATGCGACTAATAGATCCACATCATGACCTGAATCTAGTTTCCTTGAGATGCATCAGATTAACTGACTATTGACGTAGTCTCTGTGTGGGTACAAAGCGCCCATTAAGTATTGACTAAATTCAGTTGTATTTAGTAGTGATGTACAGCTATCCACTTAAGATTAGGTTTGCAATCCAGCAATCCTCCGTATCTTACCTCAGAGACGCGGGAGATGACTACAAGTTCCGGTCTCAGGCGCCTTTATACAATTGCTTACTTTCAAGGAGAGAACCTGGTGAGTAGTTATGATATTCAAAGTGACCTTAACCCAGGGCATCTGAGACTTGTGCTTGCCTCAACGACCGTTGTCAGCTAAATTCGGATCGAGGGGGAAATGTTCAGGGAGATTTAGACTTTTGCATCCCCAGCTATATTTGTAAAAGGAAAATAAGTACCAGGACATAACTGCATAACGCCATTTTTAAACAACTCCCTTGATCATAAACTGCTGGAATCTAGCATTTCGCTAGCCCTAGTCCAACGTGTCATTGAGCTCACACGCTATGACTCACAGTACTCCTCTTCAACCATGGAACTAGTGTTCTTTCATGGTGAGGATGTGGATTCCATACAACATCTTCCTCCTTTAGGAAGAAGTGATCACTCAGTGCTCACTTTCGAGTTCACAGCAGCAGCATCATGGGCCAAAACCCCGGCTCGACCAAACGTTTGGAAAGCTGATATAAATGCGATCGTCTCAGCAGCCAACTCACTGAACTGGTACGTAAACCCAGAGTCCCAAATAGAAGCCGCATGGAACCAATTTAAACAACTTTACGCTCAATTAAGTGAACCTTTCATCTCTTGGTCTGTTCCAAAAGGTCAGAAACATTGCCCCCCTTGGATAAATCGAGAGATTCGTAAGTTACTCAGACGTAAACACAAATGTTCGGACCTGTTTGCCACTCTTGAGACTCCTAAGACCAGGAAATTATACAACACTTCTAGGAACAAAGCTATTGCAGAAATCCGCCAATCAAGGATTGCTGTTTCAAACCTGACTATTGACAAGGACACAATCGAAGGTCAAGAAAAAGCAGAAGCAATGGCAGACTAATTCTCCCAAGTCCTTACACAGGGGTCGTCACTCCCCATAGGATCAGCTTTGGCTGCATCAGAGGAACACGGGAAAGATTCCGTTGAGGTAGACCAAGACATCGTGCTCAACTGCCTAATAAAACTAGATGCAGGGAAATAAATGGGTCCTGATAATCTCCATCCAAGGCTTCTCAATGAGCTATCAGATCACATAGCCGGCCCTTTGACCACGACCTTCAAGCTCTCTCTCTCCTAAATGGAGTGTTACCGAGTGACTGGAAAGACGCCATAGTAACACCCATCCACAAAGGAGGATCAAGACAAAGTCCTTGAAATTACAGGTCTATGAGTCTCACTAGCACTTTAATCAAGGCACCGGAGAGAATCAAGAAAAGCATCATGGCATATCTGGAAAACAACAAAATGATATCCAGAGCACAGCACGGCTTCCGAAGAAACCTCGCATGCCTGTCAAATCTTCTCAGTACAAGGAAAAGCTGGGTCAAATCAAGGGACAACAGAAGACCTGTTGACCTGTTGAGCACAGCCTTTGATAAAGTACCTCACAAAAGACTACTCATGAAGCTGAAAAGTCTTGGTATCAAAGGCAGCTTACTAAACTAGCTTAGGGAATGCCTCATAGATAGGAGGCAGAGGGCTAGGATCAACTCGGAACTCTCCTCTTGCACAGTGGTACGTAGCTGGCTGGCTGGATTCAACATAGAACTTGGCACCGAAGTGCAGCAGTACGTAGCGGAGTGCCACAAGGCACGGTACTCGGACCACTCCTATTTATTTTGTATATCAATGAGTTATTTCTGCTCACCGATTACCCTATGGTCCTATACGCAGATGACTTAAAAATTTGGCGAGAAATGAAGGGCAGCAGTGATACGCTCACGTTACAAGAGGACCTCAACAAACTGTCAGAATGATCCAGAGAATGGATGTAGTGAAAAAGGGTTTGGACAAGCACAGAAACTTACTAGAAAAGGATTAACGTAAGCTTCAAGACTTCTATCCTCAACCAATAAATCTAAATCTGAATAAATGTAACCAATACAGTGTCACTAAATGCATTAATTACGAACATAGCCAAAACAAAGATTTATCAGCATCAGAAAAGCCAAGACGAAAGGAAAGTCCTACTACGGATCACCGAATAACAACTACAAGTCTTCCAACACTAACAGCCTCATTAAATTTAACCCAACTCAGATACCTGATACGGCCAGATACGTGTCAGCGTAAACACCTAGGATTCCTTAAAGGCTGTTATACAAAAACCTATGTTGAAGACTGACTAACAGGGAGAAGTATAAAATTTAACACAATAAAACCACGCACTGTTTTAAAAAGTTATTAATTTAAGGTGGAAAATCAGCATCAAGTGAAACGCCGTCATACCAGCAGATACAAGATAAATAAACCGACTGACTTACAGTGTACTTGAAGATCGGACTGGAGGAGCAGGAGCATGATGAGGCATTTCTGATCCATGAATTAAAAAAGTAGCAGATGGTGGTGAAAGACGACTGAGACTGTTATCAGCAGCACACACATGATCAGTGAGTTCACAGAAGCTGGTCGTATTTGAGATTACATGACTGTCATCAGAACTATTTGCCTGACTATAAGACCGGTCAGGCATCATGCCACGGTAAAGCAATAAGTGAAATTAAAATCCGGGAGTCATAACTTTTCTGAGCATAGTTCGCTTGAATAACTAGATCTTCTTGACAGAGAAAACTGGAAACATCAGCACAAGCTAATTAAATACATTCTAAATGTAACGGCGACTAAATAGTTATTGAGATAATAATCCGGAAATGTCGAGGGTAGGGTCCACATGAAACCTGAGATGAAAGGAGCGTTTTCAAACGTGCCTCCACGGAACACAAAGCAATGTGACTAGATAAATGGCGCAGACAAACACGACAAGTTACTAAATGCCCTGAACGTATCTAAAACGTTTGAATAGCTTAAAATGTTGAATACTTTGATTTTTCATAAACAGGTTTTATAGATCCTGTTAGGCATCTGAGCATCTAGCTACTTAGATCGTGAGAAATTTGAAGTCCATGAGTGATCCTCGAAGTTCACTTTAACTTTGCGTAAACACTAACTCGTGAAATGAAGCCGGTGAATTTCGTTTGCAAGAAGATTAAAATGATCAACAGTTCTACTATTTTTGGTAGGAAAGCTAATATTAAGCCTTTGAATAAGGTGTTTAGTTTCACAGAAACATTTCACCATTATGCAATCAATTCCAGTTACAGTCTTTTTTTAAAATGTACTCCAAATGCTCCATTCTATATGTCACACAGCAGTTTCCAAATGAAATCCTAAGATAAACATAATATGAGCAGCTGTGAATCTGAGGACTTCGAGATTATGTTCCATTCGAAAAGCATTATGACCGAGTGAAGGCATTAACAAATTTTAAGTATTTTTCGGTATTTTATTACCTTTTGCAGAACACACTACTAAGGATTAATATCTAAAGAGCTGACCAAAAATTTGAGTAAGGCAATTATTCAGTCTCTATCGGGGTTCATTTGGAATACTTCCTTTACCTAAGTACTTACCTACACATTAAGAGTAGTTTGGTCAACCTGTGGTGTGGCCAAAACTTATTCTCATTCAGATATTTGGCTGTATAACAGTCACTAGAGTTACTCCCAGCTGAGATGAGAAAGATAACTGTTTCGAATCTTTCAAAAAAAGAAAGGAATATTTTGTGCCTATATGTTATCCCTAACCAAACGTTTCTAAAACGCCTCCGCGTGCCTGTATTGGGCCCTCGTAGAAACTATTTTTGTGTATCCCTAACGAATACTTACCACTGTGTAGGTGAACATTTGTTTTTGATAACTTAATATATATTCTGAGATCATGCATTTAACGTTTCTATTCTCGTATTTTGGAAGTTCAGAAATGTTAATAAAACATTTTCCCATATTTTAACTTGTGACTTTTGATTCATTTTGACTGCTCATGAGGGACTAGCCACATAGGGTGTGCAATAAAGTATTCCATCTTCTAAGATGGTGAAGAACCTTAATCGGGAAGAGGTACAAAGAATATGTTTTCAGGTCGTTTGATATTTTCTTTGGAGTGTTGGTCAGAAGGCGCGTCTGAACGATGCATTCATGTATAACATCTTCGGTAGAAAAACGGAACTTTCTTTGCTGGGTGATGGGTTTTTCTCTACAATGCATGCGGGAACCCAGTCTTCTATGAGCTCATTTACCTAGTTGCGAAGCTCCTATTATCTTTCTAGGCAACAGATACGCTGAAGGTGTTGTTTAGATAGACGACGAAGGATTTGTTGGACTTCGCTCCTTTAGTTGTAGTTTAGGTATTCTTCACTGCTCTGAAATATTTGGATAATATAAACAATAATCCTCACGAGTGAGCTTTTATGTAAATACATACAAGAATAACTAAACGCAGTTGTAACCGTGCAGCCAAGTTAGTGGTCAAAAGGTCAAATGTGACGGCATATGATCCTTTCTTTTTATTAGCAATGTATTCATCTACAGGGAAGATAATTCACTTCTGATGCAAACATACAATGGCAATGCTAAGAAAATGAAGGGGAAATATATAAAATGTATTTTTAATCAACACACCTTCAAACTGTAATTCAAGAATAAGATGAAACGCCTTGCACGGCGAAATTATGTAAAAGAATAAGTTTCAACTTCTGTTTCTCACTGGTATTCGTAACCTATTCATCACAGAGCTAGGTTTTATTTGCGCAGAGGCAGTATTTCTGCATTTCTTAATACGCTACATCCGCGAAGTGGTTAGGAGACTGTTCCAATCGATTCTAATGCAAAAAAACAGTAGCAATGCACAACTATTATGAACCGAATTTATGTACTTTAAATAACAGTCATTTATCCATATAAGTATAAAACTTAGGCAATGTGGCACAGTATAACTCATAACCATTTTACCAAAAGTTATAGTCTTTTGGACGAGCTAGGGTGAGCTTGTTAATGTGTCTTTCTAGGCTCCGTTTGAACCCATTACAACATCGAATTTCAGATGGTAATTTGTTCCAAAGAGTGAAATATTTAATGGTGAAAATGTTTACCCTAATGGATTTTCTGTGGATAGCCACCTTGACAAGGCAGTCGTGGTTTCGCAGCTGATTTGATTTAATATTTGCCCACGTTATGGATGAGTTACTATAACAATGTTTCCTAATGACTTTGAAGAGTAGAAATAAGTTGCACTTCACTCTCCTTAACCACAGAGGTTCTAATTTCAGACGTATACACCTGTCAACATATTCCACTTGTTGGTCAAACCCTATTATGCATTTCGTGAAGAATCTCTGAACACTGTCAATTTTTTTCGGTCTGCAGACCTTAGATTACTAAATAGGAGAGCACAATATTCAAGTTTGGGGTGGATACATGTTCTATATATAGCTAATCTTGTTTCTTGGGTGCAGAAGTTAAGCAGTACAAAGCCAATTAGTCGTTTACAGTCAGATACAATCTTCCCTGCATGATCGGAAAAGGTTGAATCTGAGTATGTTATCCCGAGATCTGTGACTGTGTTCAGTTGTGAGAGGAGCTTACCGTACATATATAGGCACATTCTCGGTTTCCAGCGTCCAAGGTGGTCTATTTCGCACTTGTATGGGTTGAAATCCAGTTGCCACTTTTCGCTCCAATCGCCTAGATTGTTTAAGTCATGTTGGATCTTGCTTTCGACGCTCTTATCATCGTACCCGTAATCATATACTATCTTGAGATCATCTGCAAAGAGGTATGGCTTGCCATACTTGATCACAGAGACTATGCCATTTATAAATAAAATGAATAAAGTAAGGCTAAGAACGCTACCCTGTATTACACCACTAGTTATCGGCTTTGATGAAGACAGCTGGTGGTTGATTTTGACTAATTGTTCTCTTTCTGTGAGAAAAGAATTTATCCATTTGGTAAGTTTTCTAGTTATTCCGTAGAATTGAAGTTTTGTTATGAGTCTGATATGTGGGACTTTATCGAAGGCCTTGCTAACGTCGAGAAATAATGTTGTTAGCGAGTGCCCATCATCAATGCATTGTGTAATGTAGTAAAAATAATCTAAGTTGCAAGTAATGCACGACCTTCTAATTAAGAAACCGTATTGGGATGGAGAAAGTAGGTCATTTGACTGGTTGTGGATTAATTTCCAAGTTACACACTTGCAGTACTTCCTTTTATGTGAGCCTATTTAATGTGAAGTTAATCTGCAAGTAATCTTGAAGGGAGAATGTCGCCCTAACAGTACGGATGTTCCAGAGTTTGTCCTGAAAGTTGCTTACAGTCCTCTAATGCTGGAAAAAATATGAGGTCTATTTATGCATACGGCGTCAATATAAAGACCATCTGTGGACTACAAACACTTTTATTTGCACGAGAATTTCCCTTAGTATTAATAGAGTCAGTGTGTTCATATTGTATACAAATATGTAGAATTATAACTTCATGCTGTGCTATTCCGCATAGGTGCTTTATTTTTTAGGTACATGGAGGTTGTCCAATATGAAATCAGCGGAAATTTCAATCGGTCAAACTAATGCTAATACCCTTCATCAAAATTTTCTTTGTAAATTAATGAAATATTTAATATACCCTTAATTTCTACTTCTTCTGGACTTCTTCAATACGTCGCTATATTGTATGGTTTTGTAATGTGAATTCGGATTAATGCGTATTAAGCTTAGTTAGTGAAATGGAGATGTTATGTAGTAGTATTATAAGACTGTTACTTTAGTCATTAACAGGATTTTGCGTCTGTTTCTATAGAACAGCACGATGTAAAATCCAAGTAGGATTTGCCAAGTTGATTAACAACTCCGTACTGTTCGGTACACTAAAGTCGCCTTATCTAGCCATTTGCAAGTCTGTATACTGCAAAACGCGAAGTCTGTAGTACACGTAAATGTGGTCACTAAAGGTTGACGGCATTTTGAATATCTAATATATGGGTATTAAACTACTCACGGTTTTTGGCATCTAATTGTTAATGACCAACTTTAATTAGCCCACTTTATCTTGCCTGAAGTGTCCTTCTGTCACTTCAACTTCTGGTAGTTTTCAAAGTCACTGTTTTGTGTCAATGGTGCGGCAGTTGACATGGGTAGCGGATTTGGGCGTTGATATGGCATATCCCCTGTTTGAAGTGGCGCCTCCAGCTTTACCTTGAGGACATTTGCGCGGTCTAGTTGATTTCAGTTTGGCTGATTTGTTTCGTTTGATCTAGGTAGCTGTATTTGGCGTGATTCTGGTTTTATTTGGCTTGAACTGTGTTGATTTTTTTAAGAATAGTCGTCAAAAGCTGTCTCTAAGCCTGAAGGCAGTTATCGTGCAGGAGGATACTTGAGAATGTGTTTCATGTAAAAATTATAGGGTGCACCTAAATTCCTTGGATTTCCGTAGCAAACGTCTATCGCCGACAGTTCTGCAGAACACGATCAACTGTAATGTAAGATTACTGTAAGTCTCAATTACCTTCAAAATGGGGATAAGTCAGATGAGCAATCACCATATGACGACAAGGATACTTACAGGTGGTGAACACTGTGCAAGTACATGCACGTTTTACCACATCAACTACTGGATGTATGAATCCATCGACGAAAAACACGTTGTTGGAAATACGGCTGTCAATGCGGGCCCCTCTTAGTCTTTTAAAATCTGCAACAACCTTTCTTCCGGCATATCCTGTTAATTTTGACAATAAGGGCTGCAAAGTAGGTATCCCGTTGTCCACCATCCCCATCTCAACATCTCGTTTGCCATCCCTCCTCGGCAACCTACTGTCACTCCAGTGGTACACCTCCCACATACATCCGTTTCTTCGATCTGTGCAAACATTCAACACGATTGTTAGTGC